ATGCCGGACCGGGGTGCGGCCCCTGGGGCGGAGGGGACACGGGAGGGGACACGCAGGGACCTTCTCTCCTCGTCCGCCGGCTCCTCTCCCTCCTCCTCCACCCCCTGTCCCCTCAAGTAACTGGGCCGGACTGGGCTGGACTGGGCTGGACCGGGCTGGACTGGGCTGGACTGGGCTGGACCGGGCTCTGCTGGGATCAGCTTTGCAGCCCCTACGGCACAGCCGAGCTGCGAATGCCGCAGGAAAAGCGGGAAGGGAAGCGCTGGAGGTGCCCCCGGTTCGCCGCACTCCGGGGGAGCCCCCGGCCGTGTCCCCTCGCTGGGGCCGCTGCCAGAGCGCGGAGCCAAAGCGGGCCSGGGCCAGGAATGTCCCTGCCAGCAGCGATTAGGGACAATGTTCTCCGGGAACGGACGTGCGGGATCTTGTCAGACACGTGGCTTTTGTTGGGCGAGGGACAACACAGCTGTGCCCGGCCACCCCCGCTCGGGGCGGGAGCGGCTCCCGGGCATCGCTCGGGTCCTTCCCACCCCTTCCCTCCCCCGAGTTTGTCCCCAGGACTCCCCGAGTGGGGCTGGGGACGGGATGGGACTCACTAGAGGGCACCAAATGATCGGGACGGGACGGGACGGGACGGGATGGGATGGGATGGGATGGGATGGGATGGGATGGGATGGGATGGGATGGGATGGGATGGGATGGGACCCCCCTGGTACCCCAACCTGTGACCCCAGCCCAGTCCCCCAGTCCACGACCCCAGCCCGGACCCCTCGCTCTCCCCTGGGGCGGTGCCGGGTCCCTTCCCCCGGGCCGGCTCCGAGCGGGGTGTGAGCGTTTCCCCCCAAGGGGCGCACGGCGGGGGCTGGAGCCCCGCGGCTCCCCCGGTTCCCCCCGGTGCGGCCGAGATGGCGGCCCCGGCGGAGCTCAGATTCCAGCCCGGCGGCCCCGGGCGGCGCTGGAGGCGGCCCAGGCCGTTCCGCCCGCGCAGGTGAAGCCAACAGATGTGAGCAATTACTGTCCCACGGGCTGCCAGCGCCGGGCTCGGCGGCGGCGGAACAAGCGCGGCATTGTTGGGGTTTATGTAACGGCCCGAGCCCCGCGAGCCCGGRGCCGCCGCCAGAGCCCCGCCCGCGGGGTCACGGCCCCCCGGGTGACATCCGCTCGTCCCCACCGCGGAGCCCCCGCCCGTGCCCCCAACCCGCGCTCCCGGTGCCCCCACGGCCCCGTCCCTGGGGAGGGAGCGGTGTCACAAATCCATTCTGGGGGTGGGGGAACAGCTCTGTCCCCTCCATCCTCACCGGTGCCCGTCCCCTGTCCCCCAGCAAGGCGGAGGCAAAGGCCATGGAGAAGGAGCTGCTGGAGGATTATCGGTTCGGGCGGCAGCAGCTGATCGAGATCTGGGGACACGCCTGTGCCGTGGCTGTCACCAAGGTGGGCTTGGGGACACCGCACCAGGGCTGCGCTCCGCGCCTCGTCCCGTCCCCCTGCGCTGCCTCCCCGGCCAGACCGAGGCGCGGGGACAGGGGACAGGGGACAGCGGCACYGGTGACACTGCCCTGTGCCAGGGCYCCGSCCGSTCCCTGGCTGGGATCTGTGGATTCCCTCAATCCCCCTTCACCGTCCCCCGCTGGAATTGGGGTCACGCGGGGCGGGGGTCCCCATGGGGAGGGGGCGATGGGGCGTCCCCAGATGTCCCCAGTGGTCCTCCCGTGCCCTGGCCATGTCGCAGCTGCTGGGATGGCGCGGTGCTCGTGCGGGGTGTGAGGAGGAGGAGGAGCAGGGGGAGGAGGGGGCGGTGGCGCCCGAGGGCAGCATCAAGGGCAGCTTTGTGCCTCGGGGCCGAGAGCTCCGCGCCTCAGCTTTTCCGACGGCGCTGGCGCTGCCCTTCCCAGCTCCGGGGGTTGCCTGAGGAGCAGGAGGAGGAGGAGAAATATTTTGGTGCTGGAGCCTCCCGGGGCTGCCCCGGGGCTGTCGCGGTGTCCCTGACCCCACCTGG